CCGTCATGGCTGTCACCCCCTGATGGTTGCCATGCAGGTTAGTACAGAAAAAAGCATGGTCTGCAGGATGTGAAGATTCCTGGAGCACGTTCTCTCAGTATTTATCATGTACACATGGGGCTTATACACAGTGGTGGTGATGTTGCATGATCACATAAGAACAATGTTTCCCCTATTAAAATGAAAAACTATATAAATAAAAAGTATATACAATATAAATGAAGCAACTTAAATTTCGGTTTATTTGCCCTTTAACTGGTACAATATACATACGTAAGATTAACTTAAACACTACCTTTCATGGCCTAGTCCCTGTAAATACTTTGGGCTGTTCTCCTGGATTTTGATTCCATGTATCAAGCTCTCTTTTTTTTATCTTATACCTCTTTAGTTGTTTATTATCCTAAGGTTATTAAAGGGCTGAATTATGACACAATAATCTAGAGTTTTCGAACACTGGAGAAATTGCACAAGAGAATACAGGAAATACAGTAAATCTTAAATTTCTTATAAATGCAAAACTTTGCACAACAGTGCTTTTTGACACTGTAACGTGAATATACCCCAACACGCAGGATTCAGCTAAACAGAAGACAACACAGAGGAGAGATACGTCTACCGGACCTTAGAATGGCCGGACTCGACGTATATGAGAGGAGACAAAGTCAGGAACGATCCGAAGTCAAGGGCACAGTGAGACAGCATAAACTAGGACAAGCCGGGGTCTGGTACACAGTAAACAGCAAGCCGGCAACCAGAACAGATAAGGATAAAGAGAAAACGTAGTCAGAAACAAAGCCAAAGTCAAAACGGAGAAACACAACTGAACACAACAAGCGCTAAAGGGAACTGATACAGAAACCACGATAGGGCAGGGAGTAAAGGGAGAGGTAAGTATATATAGCTTCTAAACTAATGTGATTGGCTCCTGTCATATCCACACCCCCAAAAGGTAAGTGTATGGGGAGTGAGTGAGCAAAAGGCTTTCCAGAACCTGGAAATAAATTGGCTACCCCTATTGGACACGATAGATACAGGAATACCATGTAACCGAAATACTTCTCTAGCAAAGATAAGAGCCAGTTCCTTGGATGTGGGCAACTTGCGAAGAGACACAAAGTGAGCCATCTTGGAAAACTGATCTACTATCATCAGGATGACTGTGTTACCATTCGAAGGGGGTAATTCAACAATAAAATCCATGGATAGGTTAGACCAAGGTCTCTCGGGAACTAGTAAGGGATGCAGAAGCCCATACATGCACAAGTAGTACAATCACTTATATAGTCAGTGACATCCTTGCATAAGGAACCCCACCAAAAATATCGAGAAACTGCTGACATCGTTTTGGTAATACCAGGATGTCCAGCAGTCTTAGTATCATGATATAATGACAGAATCTCCCGTCTCTCGGGAACATCAACAAACAATTTATCAATAGGCCTCTCGCTAGGTGCCATACTTTGTTTCGCCTGTATGGTCTGCAAGAGGGATGAAGAAATAGACAACATAGTAGTGGCTATTATCCTGTCTGGGGGAATGACAGGAGTAACATCAACCTCATGTTTGTCAGTAGTTTCGAACTGTCTGGACAGAGCATCTGCTTTAATGTTGCGATCACCTGGCCTATAGGTGATAATATAATTGAAACGGGACAAAAATAGTGACCATCTAGCCTGCCTAGAAGATAATCTTTTAGCTTCACCAAGGTAGGATAGATTCTTGTGATCTGTAAAAATGAGGATAGGATCCTTAGTTCCTTCTAACAGATGTCTCCATTCTTTAAGAGCTAAGATAATAGCAAGGAGTTCACGATTACCCACATCATAATTCCTTTCAGCTTTGGACATTTGTCTAGAAAAGAAGCCACAAGGATGCAATGGCTTTTCAGGCGATTCTCTTTGGGACAAAACAGCACCTACCCCAATTTCAGAAGCATCAACTTCAAGAATATAAGGCAGTGAGGGGACAGGGTGCTGTAAAATAGGTGCAGAGGCGAAAGTAGTTTTAAGAAAGTTGAAAGCCTGAAGTGCCTCGGGAGACCAGACACGAGTATTACCACCCTTTTTTGTCATACGGGTGATAGGTGCTACAATAGAAGAAAAACCCTTAATAAAGCGTCTATAATAGTTAGAGAAAACAAGAAAACGTTGAATTGCTTTCAAACCCTGTGGTAGAGGCCACTCTATGATAGCAGAAAGCTTCTGGGGATCCATACGAAACCCTTTGGCGGAAATCAAATACCCCAAGAACTGGACTTCGGATTGGTCAAATAAACATTTTTCTAGTTTACACTAAAGACCATTATTAAGAAGGGTCTTCAAGACCGTTGTGACATGTCTGTGATGAGTGTGTAAATCTGTAGAATATATCAATATGTCGTCCAAGTATACAATTACAAATGTGTGAATAAAGTCTCTTAGGACGTCATTAATAAATTCCTGAAATACTGCTGGGGATTGCAAAGACCAAATGGCATAACGGTATACTCGTAATGACCGGATCTAGTGTTGAATGCAGTCTTCCATTCGTGACCTTCCTTTATGCGTATTAAATTGTATGCACCTCTAAGGTCCAATTTGGTGAACACAGTAGCATGTTTCAGCCTGTCAAATAACTCCGTAATTAAAGGTATAGGGTATGCATTTTTTATAGTGATTTTGTTTAGACCTCTATAATCGATGCACGGTCTTAAATCACCCTCTTTCTTAGATACGAAGAAAAACCCTGCTCCAGCCGGAGAAGAGGATCTCCTAATGAACTCCTTTTCTAGTGATTCTTTAACATACTCCTCCATGATACGGTTTTCTTGAATAGATAAAGGGTACACCCTGCCCTTAGGAGGTATAGTGCCAGCCAATAAATCGATAGCACAATCATAGGATCTGTGAGGCGGTAATTTATCAGCTTCCCTTTTATTGAATACAGTCTTGAGAAACAAGTATTGAGGAGGTATAACAGTAGACAAAGGAGGAGTAGTAGGAACATTAATGGTATTTAGAGGGGTGACTTTAATCATACAAGAGTCGTGGCAGGTTTTACCCCATGATTTTAATTGTCCCAATTCCCAGTCAAAAATGGGATTGTGAGAACATAACCATGGGTACCCTAACACGATATGAGAAGAGGGAGAGGTGATAACTTGAAACCGAATGGTCTCAAGGTGTAAAACCCCTGTGTACATAAATAATGGTACAGTTTCATGGGTAACGACTGGAGTATTTAAAGGTCTACCATCTATGGCCTCAATGGCCAAGGGTATCTCCCTTTCTCTGATGGGAATGTTATTTTTCGTAACAAACTCAGAGTCAATGAAGTTCTCAGCAGCCCCGGAATCAACCAAGGCTAGTATGCTTTCAGCTATACAACTCTCTCCCGTATGAAGGGAAACAGGGAGAAGCAAACGGTTAGGAGGCAATTTAGGAGACTTAGATATCACACCCAAGGCCAGTCCCCTATAAGGTCTTAGGTGCGAGAGCTTTCCGGAAGCAAAGGACATTCCTTTACCATATGGTCTCGCCTACCACAGTATAGGCAGAGTCCATTCCTTCTTCTAAGTAGTTTTTCAGTATCCGAGAGTTTGGCAACCCCTAATTGCAATATGGTGACGTAAGTACTAATAATATATTAAATAATAAAAAGTATTGTACTTACACTTTCTAGAGCATATAACTTGCTCCAGTATAAACAGCTTAGGTGGTATAATCCCCACCAAGGATATACAGGATCCAGGAAATAAAAAATAATAAATATAAAAAGTAACTTTAAAAAGTATACTTTAATATAATTAAAACAGTAAAGGATAAAAAAGTATGATAAAAAGTCCCACTTTACGCGTTTCGCCTAAACAGGCTTCTTCAGAAGTGTAAGTACAATACTTTTTATTATTTAATATATTATTAGTACTTACTTCACCATATTGCTACTATCTCTTCTTATACCTACTATGCACATTGCACCTTGAGAACATCCGTGGCAACTACTATGAATCCTAAGACGGGGATTGTACCGTCCAGGCGCTTCACAGTAGAGCTCTGTTATAGCTCATTCAAATGTGAGTGGACTGTACATAGCTATAATTGATTGTATTTAAAATTTAATCTACTGTATTGCACTATTATTTTTTATCTTAATTTTTTTTCGAGGCTAGGATTGATTGGAATATTCAAGGATATATGTATGTATTTTTTGCATATATAAATTACGAGGCGCGGTATACGCCTTCTTTTCTTTCTATTATTCACTCACAAGGTTGGGGAATCCTTGTTCTGTATACTGCTGCCTGATCACTATAGTGAGCGCCTATCACTCTCTCTTTCTATTTGCTGAGCCACATCTGCGGGGTCCATGGCCCTATCGTAATGTAACGTGACTATACCCCAACACGCAGGATTCAGCTAAACAGAAGACAACACAGAGGAGAGATACGTCTACCGGACCTTAGAATGGCCGGACTCAACGTATATGAGAGGAGACAGAGTCAGGAACGATCCGAAGTCAAGGGCACAGAGAGACAGCGTAAACTAGGACAAGCCGGGGTCTGGTACACAGTAAACAGCAAGCCGACAACCAGAACAGATAAGGATAAAGAGAAAACGTAGTCAGAAACAAAGCCAAAGTCAAAACGGAGAAACACAACTGAACACAACAAGCGCTAAAGGGAACTGATACAGAAACCACGATAGGGCAGGGAGTAAAGGGAGAGGTAAGTTTAAATAGCTTCTAAACTAATGTGATTGGCTCCTGTCATATCCACACCCCCAAAAGGTAAGTGTATGGGGAGTGTGGCATGACAGGGGCCAATGGGAGCCTTTTAACAATTTAGGCTCCCACTGTCTCTTTAAGAGCGCGCCCGAGACCCGCGGCGCGCTCTTAGATTCAGGCGGGACACGTGACCGCTTCTCGCGGTCACTGCCCGCCTTTCCAGTGAAGCTGTCGGCTCGAAGAGAGGACCGCGGCCGGCCCCTGGATAAGGTGAGTAACGCTACAGACACTAAATGTGTTATTCAATAATTTTCTTTATTTATTTTTTTACTCAAAAGCAGAAGAAAAAAAAATTACAAGAGAACGTGCACTGCATGCAGACTCTGCGGGGACTCATATGTTTGACAATATTTTGGAATTACCTCTTCACAATGTTTACAGTCTTATGTAGGGCGAGTGAACATGTGTCAATATACACACTTACATGTAACACTCCCAAGTAATATAATATGAAATGCAAGCATCCTATTTGATTAAAGACCGTAGAAGGAATGGTTATCTGATTGACCCGCACATTGAGGCCACATCAAAGATGACAAATAGCAGTGGAAGTGGTTAACAAGGGGCTTGTAATACTCAGAGTCTGGTTTGTGAACAGGAAAAAGCTGAGATGATTCTAAATAGCGTGACATTCCGTATGTTGTACCTTTATTTAATTTTTTTAATTTTTCTAGTATGCTGTTGAAAGTTTTAAGATATTTTAATTACCAAGGCCTTCAGTCTTAAACCTTTAAGGACAATTTATTGTATATTTGCTATAAAACAAAGTAGACTTTTTTAAAGATGTATGAAAATGGAATGACCTCGGAATGGCTCAGCAGTGGGTGGTCAATAAACGGGACATCCCAGGCTGTAATGTTTTTATATACTCTTCAAAATGAATGGTCTGACTGGCCAGGTTTCCCTCTTTGTACCTCAGCGCCCAATGCCCATATGCTCAGCATTTTAATCGTATGAAAGATCAATGATTCATCTTCAAATAGAAGAGACTCCGGGCTGTTGACTATGACAAGGCTGAGTCTGAGATCAATATGTCACACACAAATGAGGAAATGCAAGCAACCATAAACAGGAACCCCAATATAGCTCTTCTATGCCCTACAGAGGTAGGTAGATAGGTAAGTGTGAGTATGTATGTGTGTCCCCAGATTAAAATTAGGAGCCATTAAACAGAATAAATAGAATTCTTATAGATGCTGTAAATCTTTGGGTTATCTTTACACTTCTATCCTTTGACCCCTTTGCAGATTTATTCATGGTGGCATTAAATGGTCACCATTACCTGGTGGTCACCTAAAAAGAGTTCATTCAGTACTATCTCTATTCGACATTGATGGATATGGGGGAACCCAGCAATGTAGTACCAACCAAAAAATACAATTAATAACACTGCCTCTGGATGCCCTATCCCATGGTACTGGGTAAATGTCAATTTTATCAATACAGAGATACAGATAAATGCCTGTATTCACTGTGGCTTCAGAGTCCTTTGAAAACCACACACATATGGCTACTTACTAAAGTGAGAATTTACCAGCATTTGATATATTTCTTGGCATGACTGTAATTCCTGCATTTTAGGGGTGTCCTCTGTATTGAAAAGGGATATGCTGATACCCTGGGCAAGGACATTTTGAGTGCCTATGGGGGGCAAGGTTTTTAATTGTATTTTTCACTGAATGTGTTTTGCGCTAGGGAGAATTGCAATCTGTGTTCCCCCTGACAGTATGTAGGTTCTCTTTTTTAGCTTCTTATTTTTTGTGTCTTTTAAATGATTACACGTTTTTGTTTTTTTTTTTCTTTATTTTTGCAGTGCCAGAGATAACAAAAAAAGCTTTTGATGTCACGACAGCAATGATAACAGAGTAATAACATACAATATAAGATAGTAGCATGGCATTCAGATTAAGTTAGCACAATTTTTGTAATAGATTAGTAATCCAATGAAGTTTAACGTGTCTAAGCAAATTATTGTATAACGTTAGTCGACAGATAGTGTAACTAAGACACAGACATTCTTAAGGTTAAGGATAGAGACAATCATATGTCAACCTGAATATTATCAGGAAAGTTTCCCACGGAGGCCCTCAGCTGGCTGCATGTCGTAAAGAGTAGGCCAGAGGCGATACAAGAAAAGAGAGAAAGGATGCTGGAGATTAGTGTCACAGAAATTTCAAGGATGCTTGAGAGCAGTATCACATAAATTACGCCTTGGCGTGAGGGTAAGATGAAGGGCAACAGCTCTTCTTGGTGCAGCCCTGGCACCTGTATCAGCCTATGCCGGCTAGGGGCATCGCAGAGTCGTGCGGCTTTCAGAGGGAAGATGGTCCTTCAAGCCTCTGTGTGTGTCAGCAGGTTTTATTTCTGCTTTGTTCTGAGATATTCACAGGGTTTTTACTAAAGTGAGAATTATTGTGAATTCAAAGTGAATTTCAAATTTAAAACCAAATAACTGAGCTTGCTACGCATCCAGCTGAGCTATTTGGTCTAAAATGGGAAATTCACCATTAGAGTTGGGCTTCGACTAGATCCATAAAGCAAGGGAAAGCTTATCCAAGAATCCCTGGTTTGGTATTAAGTAGAACCATGTAACTGATTGATAACATTCTTTGGGGAAAATATTGCAGAATTTTAGAGGGGTGTTTGTATAGTTATGAATACAAGTCCCTTCGATAACAATATATATTTAAAACCATTCGAAACCTATTTGTTTTTTTCAAATATATATCTGCACAAACACGAGGAGTCCCCTATAACACAAGTTATAACTGATCAGTAAAATTATATTTACTCTATATACTTATGAAATATATGACCGATAAGTTTAAAGGTTGAAGTGGTTATCTCGCCCGAGAATCACGTACTTCACCGCCTACTGGGAATTACTGAATAGTGTCAAATTGGCGAGATCCGCCCACTTAGACGATGATATCGCTTTGGAGGATGGAACATGAGACGCGATAGGTGCGACCAATCACCTTTTAAAACTCGAGGCTTTCAGTTTGAAAGCTGCACCAATGACGAAGGTGCCATTAGAGCATTGTAACGTGCGTCGGAACCTTATTTTATTTATTTTTTACTTAGCACTTAATTTACTATGCACTATTCACAGTTCGGTCACCACTCTGTTTTTACTATTGTGTGGATGTTCTAGGGGGTTAAATGAGGGTTTACCTAGTGTAACATTAGGAGATAGGAGATTCAATTTCCATCTTACATAGAGAGACTTATACTAATGGAATCCACAAAGGTGTTATTAGGGATATCCGTATCAGGCATTTAGAGCACCCGTGAAGGTGCAGTAGATTTAATTTATTTCTGGTTCTTTGCACCCTTGAAGGTGCGGTAAGGAGGGATTTCGGTTAATGCATAGAAATATAGAATTTGACGGCAGATAAGAACCATTCGGCCCATCTAGTCTGCCCAATAAATCTACTAAGTCTAGACTAGTGATAAGAGGACTCTTTGCATAAGAAGGAGCAGTATGCATGTAAGATAGGCATTTTTAAGCCTCCAGACAATTGCTGCCTATGACCACCCACATACTTACCTAGCTGTTTTTGAAGGTATTTACTTTCCCCCTCCTTCTATCCTTCCAGACTTCCCACACTTTCCCTTCTGTAATACCTATCTTAGAATCATTACCCCACTTTCTTACTCTAACAACCCACTGCACAACTACCACAGTCAATTGACAGTTTAGGTGAGCTCTCCCAATTATAATACTAGTTTTTCACTCTAACTTCCCTCTTCCTATTCCTGTATTCTATGATTACTCCAGATTGTTTGGACGTTTCAAATCAGGAAGTAGTTTGAAGGGATGTTTGCTATTTCAATAGGGAATATATAGAGACACAGCATATTACACTGTCTTGACCTTTATGATCACTAATCTAATTAGATACAACTGTCAGTTTGATGGTTATTTTTGGCAATGGTTAATAAAGCCGGTTATATCACCGAATAGACGGTTACATGGTTATCTTTTGCTAAATTGTAGGAATCTTCTCACACATTATTTACTGTTGAAGACATATCAATAAGGTACATGGTTCTACTTAATACCAAACCAGGGATTCTTGGATAAGGTTTCTCTTGCTTTATTTCTCATTAATAATGGTTAAGCCCTGGGTGGAATTGGTACCACTCCAGCTGACCAAGCCCCGTCTGGGATATTCTCGGTATAAGGGTGATTTTGTCTATTTTTGTTCGACTAGAATAATCGGGAGATGCGATTGAAATAAATGGCGACATGCTCTTGTGGTTTTGGGGTTGTTGTGGCTCCAGGTAAAGCTCCAGCCTCTGTGTTCTCCTCAGGAGATTGAATAGGTGGTTCCACTTTAAAGATGTAGAAGCTGAATGCAGCTAGATGGAGAGAGAACACAGTGAGTTGATGAGGGGACAATATCATGTACAAACAATATTAATAAGGGAGTTCACTGTCCGTAAGCTGGAGGAATAGAAGTGCACTCATGGTAAATTCTTATTTATAGGAACACTCCAAGCACCATAACCATTTTACAACAGATTGACCTGTTATCTTGGACAGCGGGGTGCCACTACCCGCCTCTACTACTTCAAACAGATAGCCAGAATCTCCTAAGCAAGAGCTTCCGTTAGGTCATCTGAGCTAAGCCCCGCAGTAGAGGACTTGTTCTTTGGCTGATTACTCGCAGACTGTGAGCTTAGCCCTGCACCGCCAGGCTTAACTCAGACAGAGAGCTTTAGTTTCTCAGCCTCTAGTAGTGGAGTCAGAGAGCGGCATTCAGCAGACCCTAAATAAGAAGTCAAACCATTCTAAAACGGATTGAGTGCTTACAATGGAGGGGGTTGCACCAGGGCATTCTTGTCACCACAGCACTGCAACTGGATGTTAAAAAAATCATACAGCGCAATCAGATCTAGTCCAAATCTCATGTTTGGCAAAAATATGCCAGTCTTATATTTTATATAGGGTTTGCCCATGAAAACTGCTGATTTTAAAGCAGATACAAAATGGATGCAGTCAGATGGTGCTTATTCGGTCAGAATTACCAAATTCTAACCAGACTGCCGTTTACTAAATATGTGAATTGTAATTCAAATTTAGTCCATTCAAACAACATTTGGTGTTTAGTGAAAACCTCCGATAGCTGGCATAGGGCTCCAAAAAAAGTATATCAAGCCTTATCTACAAGGTTGCCGGTGGGATCTGAGTAACCATGCTGTGTTGGTTTTTTTTTTAAGCACTTTTTTTCCCTCTGGAACACAGATAGCTGAGATGGGCAAGCATTACCTGTAGCTATTGCGGTTATCACTGAAAGCCATCCCAGAGCAAAGGACCAGGAATAGGAATATGTGCTGCCAAGTCTCGATGAAAAGAACACTGCGCCCATAATCATGGCTACAAACCCCAGAAGAGCTGCAAAGAGGAGGAAAACATTTCAAAAATGGTAATCAACTGAATCGACTGCTCACTCTGGTGACGAAGTCATTGAACCAATTATAGACTCGCATCTCTCCCATCTATCCACAGGATCTAAAATCTATATTTAAATCAAAAATGTTTCCTTAAAAATGTTTATGGTTTTAACGTTCACAAATGTTCATTTAATAGAATCTGAAGTGTTTTTTTCTGACATTGGGGCAACTTTATATTTACCAGAGTACCTTTTCCATGGCAACTGCCCACATTAGATTGTTGAGTGTAGCAATGGAAATCCAGACCTTGCATAGCCTCATGATCGAAACAGTGGAGAACCCCATGAAGTTCTGCTGTGCTCAGTGATGGTTACAGAGGATATACATAAATAAAAACTCATGTCCATAAGTCCCCAGCATGCACCAGAATGCACCCAACCACTCTGTCCATAAATCCTCACCTTATCCCAATATAGGGCATAGCCTGGTCCCTCAGATAAGTCTAGAAAATAATTGAGCGAACAAGCTAAAAAGGCACCAGAAATGGGCCTAATAGTGTGTTGATAAATATATGTATAATATAATAGCATGTATAGATTTTATAGTACATTAATAGGAGCATTTTTCCAACATTTGGTTAATAAAGGAAAAAATAGAGGGATCAGTAAAAAATGTTTATATATTATATATTTGAATAATATATAAGAATAGATTTTTTTTCTGAGTGCTCTTTTTCCCCCTCTGTTGCTCACTTCTGTGGATAAACCGATTGTCCCATAGTCATCAACCATCTTTTTTCCCTACAATGTTATCTTCTACAAAACAGCCTACAGGTTGGAGGTAGAGGTAACAGCCATTGTCTACATCTCTAGCTGGTTTTCTGCTACCCTCAATCCCATTTGTTTGGCCACAATCCAGTTTTGTTCTACCCATCGTTACAACTTTAATCGATTGGCTTATGGGGTAAGACATTTTTACAAACCGCATTATAGGCCACTCCTATCTGTAACCAATAATGCAAATTTGTTATGGTGCTTACAGGAAGACTTCCACTGTTTTTCATAGCCCAAATGTGTAGGTTGCTGGCTTACTAGATTAACCAACTGTTTCAATAGTATTGGTACTGTATTTATCACTGTATACAATATTTATTTACCTATCAAGCTTGAGAAAACTCCAACTATAAGAAGACACCCAAATCCACCGGTGCGTGCATACCGCAATTCTATAATCGCAAATGGCAACGTAAAGACCAGTCCAATTATGAAAGCTGATAGTAAGAGATTCTTAACATCATCTGAAATAAATAAATAAATAACAAATAAATTAATTAAGACGTTCATTTGGACCCTATATCTATCTCAGTTTTATTTAGTCCATACAGTTTGTACATATTAGAGAATTTATTTTTATTTATTTAAAGGATTACTCCATGCAATATGTCCACTGCAGTGTTTTGAAGTGGTGATGGTGCTCGGAGTCCGTATGTGAAACGTTTCAGTAAGAAATACCCCACATACAGAGATAATTAATTATACTGCTGGAGATGTTATTAGCAACTTGCAACAAACAGGCCGGGTTTCTAATGTTAATTAGCGGAATACATTGTGTCTGTAATCAGCACGCATAGGAAGCTGGTGAATGGTGACTGGACTGACAAACCAATCAAAGCATGCCACCTTCACTCTGCCTACCTAACTGATTTTATTAAAGCACTATTTTTGGTTGGAGTGAGTTTATATAATTTTTATTGACATGCTTTTTTTTTCAGAAAATGCTTTTTTTTCAGAAAAAGTGCGTTAGTAAATGTTTTGAGTTATTTCTATAGATCGGACGCTCCAGTAGATAACCAACACAGCACCTTGGCTTGACGAAGACCCACACATGAGTTGAAACATTTCTAGGTACACCAGTGTCATGTTGCCATATTCTTCCTAAAATTCCACTGCTGAAGTATCCTTACCAAGAAGGTTTTATTATTAGAGATGTATTATGGGAAATATATCGAATTGTCTAAACATAAGCCTTTTCCAATCTGATCAATTTCCTGCAATGGCAATATTAATTAATGGGTATCCATGCTGTGCCCCACCATCCCCATCGTACATAAACTAAAATGCGTTTACCAATATATTGCGTAACTGGCAATATTTCGCAAAAAACTTGAAAACTATTTAAAAGTGAACTGTGGGTTTTATAATACAAATGCAAATAAGAAAAGAACAACCCATTCCAAAATAGTTTCCAATGCTTACATTTTCATTGTATGGTTAAATTATTTTGACACCCATAGTGGACTACACACGGGTGTTTTTAGGGCATATTTTTATGTCCAAATGTATAGCTATCCCTTTAAAGCATTAAGCAAAAACACTTGAGGAATATGGAAATGTTGTGACATTTCATACCTAGATCAGCGAAATTTAAACAGCCACTGCCTCTTGTGCAAATTCTGAAAAGTCCAGCATATTGGAAAGTAGATGGGATAGTGATCCAAAAATCTGTTATCATTGCTGTTAGCGCCAAAATGGAGCAAACAAGAAGCAGAACCAGAATCGCTGACTTCAAACCACAGAACATCTTCCCGATCGGTCACTCCCGCTTCAATCTACAAGAGAAAACAAAAATATAAAACAAAATAATAATAATAAAAATAGTTTCTTTAAAAAAATACATATGACTACAGCGTGTGAGTAGCACAAAATGAAACCAGTTCTTTGGTACTTTTGGCAAACGCTGTCTCGTGTGAAATACACAAATCAAGAACATTTTATTTTTTTCGTGTTTTTCTTTCGTTTTAATTTGTTTGAAATTTGAATTTCCCCCCAAAAATTACAAAAAAACATCATTACAAAGACAATAGTTTATCGTAAATTCAGATAATCAAAAATTACCAAATAAAATAAAAAAACAAACAAAAAACGTAAATAGTAAATGTTAGGTGCTAAAGGATTTATCTAAATTCCCATAATATCCAAAATGAAAGAAATTAACCATTATTTTTCCAGAACGTTATCCATGGTGAAGTAGCTAGTTAATATTTATTGTATAATCTTAGTGCAAGGCAAGCCATGGACTCTGTGGAGAGAAAGCAATTTTAAAGAGAAAATAGCTGATCTGGAAAAATTCTCTGATTCAGTTTTGCTTTCATTCTGTGAATATTTACATCCTGGAAAAAATAGGCCAGCAAAAAAATATTGCATCTAAATTGTTTTCACTTTTCAATTCTTTGTATAAATGTGGATAGATTTCCCTCTAAGCACATGCCACTTGCTTAAAACAAAGCTTTAGAGTTTATCTGTAACGTCCAACCAAGGGGGAACCAATAAGTCTAAATATTCGAGAAGCTGATATAGTTGCAGTTATATTGCAACAAAAGCAAAGAATTTCACACACTCATTAAGTAACTGCAATAATTAAGTGCTCCCTTTGTGTGGCCGCCGTTTGTAAAACCGAGCGCCACGTGGTGGAGAAAACGGCAGCCATCTTGTCGCACGAAAGCAGGCAGTGGGACTTGGTCATCGAGTGTCTGAAACTCCAAGACGGACACTCGATAGTGCGAACACCGGTGAAACTATTAGAACACCTGCTTCCTTTCGCGACAAGCCAGGAGAGCGCTGTTCGATAGGTTTGTTTGTATGGACCCCGCGAACAAACACTACCAATGAGCCAGGGGAACCGTTCACCTTTTCATGCATTTTGGAACTCCCGAACATGACCAACCGCTACCTCTAAAACTATTGAACTATTTTGGGCAGGCACCTCATAAGCGGTTGGTCAAAACTTCACCGAGGTGGCGATTCAACTGTGTTCGTGGTGGCTGAGGGTTGTTCGTGACATGGCATTTTGGGGACATTTTGTGGGTGTGGTTATGGGAGTGCCATGGGCATGTAGATTGTACCTCTGCATTGTAAAAAAGCAGGCATTTGAGCCTGGATTAAACAGATTGTTTTACCCCTTCATTAAGTCTAGGCTAACGTTTGTGAGGTTGGGAGCTATATTCCCTATTATATCACTACTTCACTGGAACTGGGGAGCTTCTTTACAGATAGACTCAGTTTGGAGTATTGGGATCCGTTACAGTTATTAAGTCTCTGCTGCAGTAGCCTGAGAGAACTGGCATGTTACTGTAATGCCCACAATCTTTCCTTTATCAGATTAGTGAAAATAATAAAAAGAGATCTGGGGACCTGAGGCACAGATCGTCCCACTTTCCTTATAGTTGTGCAGGCTGTTGTGGGTAATTGGTATGTTTTCACTCTAAAACACTTATTACAACAGTCAGTCTGACGATTTAGCAAGTGTTACTATAATATTTGCCTGCCACTGTCTATAAAAATGCTCTAGCAATAAATTCCCAAAATGTGGTTTACTATATAACCCTCTCATTCCTATGGTTTACATATGGTTTATTTACAAGTGCAAAAGTGTGTCTTTGTTTGTCAGTGTTCAAAATGATAACAGTGTTTAAGCAGTTGGAGGAGCGAGTACAGTGAGAATTGGGTTTCTCATTGTCTCCATCATTTCTCAAAATCATCTCCACACCATATTTAAGGTATACAAAATATCAAACTAAACCCAAAATAAAGAGAACACAGAATGATCCATACATTCATCAACAATTTACTAATCACATATCTTCATTATCTTAGCTCTAAGCAATAAGATCCCTACCTTTCTCACCTCTAGTTGGCTGCACAGCTCCTGTGACACTCAGGGACGTACTGGTAGGAAGATTTCTACAGTTCTATATTCCCCTAAAACACTACAGTATAAAAAAAAAAAAAAAAGAAGAAATCGAGCTGGGAATTGAGAAATGTATCAGTGAGTTTGGAACATGGTAACGATAATCTTAGTATATCTCAAAGTATTGCAACAGTCATGGTGTGACAATAATATGGGCAATAATTGGTTTCAACACAAACAGACTCATTTAAGGTAAATGGGAGGAGAGTTGATTAATTTGTTAAAAGGATATGGTTGAGAAAATACTGAAAGGAATTTTCACAAAAAAACAAACATTGTTTTTAAAATATATAATAAATAAAGTATTAATGCACTCAGGAATGTTTTTTTTTTTGGGGGGGGGAGAGGGGTGAGTGAGGGGGTGAAATAATAACTGCCAAATAAAACACACAAATGTACAATGATTCTATGTGGCAACCTTTATTATGTATAATCTTATATAGAATCAGAAAACGTATAAGTATCTGTGATCCAGTACTGACAGGTAAAACAAAAAACGTATCTCATTGTTTTTGTTGAAAGAGACACTATAGTCACCCAGACCATATCAGCTCAATGCAGTGGTCTGTGTGCAGGGGTTCTGTACATTTAACTCTGTTATGTAAAAGATTGCGGGTTTTTTAAGCATGAGCCACAGTGCTGGAAATAGGTATGTGAAACTTTTTTTTTTTTTAATACACACGTAGAAGGAGAGGACCTGAATAAAAATAGGGACAGGGACGTTATAGTGTTTGGAATACAAGTTTGTATTCCTACCACTCAAAATAGTAATTCACTAAATAGAGTATCTACAGGGAATTTCAAATTTAGTAAAAAATTTTGTGTGATGCCAAACTTACCTTTTCCAAGCAAGGTTTGTGAACAGAGAGTCACTGATTGGCTGAGAGTATTAGTTGTCAGCTCGCAGCCAATCAGCAGCACCCCTACCTGGTGACACTCTGCGCTTCCTGAATCTGAAAATTCTGAACCTGGATGCCGCCAGAGGGAGTGGACATTGCTGATGGAGACAACTCTGGGTTTAAAGCATATAATATAAAACTACAAAATTATACACTTGAGCAGAGCAGACAATTTTGGTTCTTCCAAACACTTCAGCAGATTTTGTAATTTTCGTTTAGGTCTCAATTTTCTGTAACAAACAATATTTGATGAGGCCATTCGGAGAGCCAGAACAGCAGGAAAAATACTGCCAATGACTCTGCTAAAATGCAAAAATGGCCACAATATTGGCTGGTCTCATGGCAAGGCAATTTCATGCATATCTACAATGCTAATTTGGAGTTGACAAAATCAGATTATTTTATATCTAAATTTTTTTTTTTTAAAGTATCCAAAATTAATGGAAAAATTTCTCACCTCTTCCAGCCTGGCAGAAACAAAGCTTTTCCACCAATTCAGTCTGTAGTGTTCTAAATAAGTATTCTAAAATGTGGTAGTGGTGTTGGCTCATCAATTTCCAACTCACTTTTTCTGTTAATTTTTCTCAGAAATCCCATTTTTTTAAGTTAAATTACTATTGCTGCTCTACCACCATTTTCCAAATATCTTTCATTGTTGTGGTGCTACCTCCACAAAACAGTTGGTAGAAGATGACGCTAACGCGCAGTTTTTTCCACACAGAAAGACAGTCAAAGATAGTTTACAGACTGGATCTGCAGGAAAGTTTAGCTCTTCTCAGGTTCGAGAGGGTGAGTGAGTCATCTATTGCCCAGTGCCCACTCACTTTTTACTTGGAAAATGAAGTGACCGTCCTTCAGTATGGAAGAAAGCAGTGTCCTATCAGCTTTTGTTAACTGTATCTGCGGAGGTAACTGCCATGACTTAGTCAGACAGGACAAAGCCACAATAAAAGGCATTTGAAAAAAGAGGAAGTAGCAGTAACCTTTTTTCATTTATTTATTTTGTATGTGGGTGAACAAGGGGACTAAACCATCACTTGCATCACATTTTCGAATTCTCTCTTTTTTTTTTTTTACAAAGAGTTAAAAAAAAAAATGACCTGCCACACTCATTGTCAGGCACTCACTCACACTCACTCAGTGTAGACGGGGTTCACCTGGGCAGTAAGCTGTAATTACGCACTGAGGGAAGACTCTTACAGTTTCCAAAGCACAAGCAATGACACACAAGGACACTGAATTCTAAGTCAGCAAATGAAAGTGGGTGTACATGGTACTGGTAGTAAGGAAGATTAACCTCATTTTTTTTAATTTTGTTTTAATTTTTTTCTTTTTTTAATTCACCAGATGATATGAAGTCTGACTGTACCTGTCCAACATGCCTCTGTCACCACCCCCGCTGCTTTTCCTAAGGGTTGTGATAGTAGTTGCTCAAGAGGTAGAGTTGGTGGTGAGTTGCGACAAGTGCAGATACAGCATCAGTGAACCTGCTGCCTGCTCTAGTATTTACTGCACTGCTTCTTCTTCCCGCAGTAATACAGACTTGCGGTAACTTTGCAGATGTTGCTTCATCAAGGCATGAGCGACCTTTCACTAACCCCCTAGTCACTTCCTTGCTGTACAATATGCCCTTTGCATGCCGACCTTCTTGGAGACACTCAAAGAAATCTCAAAGTTTGCTTCATTGGTGCAATACGGGACCCTCAACCCTTTACCTTGGGTCTGCTGGATTTACATCAGTGTCAGTGGAAGTTGTCGTACAACTAGCCTGTGCACTAGCACTTGGCTAATTACCGCTAATGGAACTGTTCATGGTGCGGGTAAAGGTGATTTTGATGGTGGTGGTTTTGGTGATACTGACAGTGGGTGAGTTACATGTGCCAGGGGTAGAGGATATAGATAATGTCTCAAGTGTTTCCATTGGATGAGACAATCAATCAGCAGACACAGATGGACTTTCTGTTAGTGGACAAGATGCAGGAGGTGGGTGCAAACTAGCTGCCAAAAAAAAATGTTGGGCTGCTGACCGTCCTCTCCACACTCTCCTCTTCTAATTTCTCTAGCTCATCATACTCATAGTCCAATAGTTCCTGGACCAGAGCTTAAGTGCTATGTCTGCAGTTTTGGGGATAACATAATTTTTATCACCAAATTCATCACCGCCACCTCCAGACATTGGGGACACTAGTTTGGTACTCCTCTGTAAATCCTCACTAAAATTGGCTTGGATACCCATCAAAAAGTCACTCTCTTAGCGCTTTCTCTTAGTTATTTCTTAGAGGACACCATGAAGTTTAGATGTATGGAACATGCTGCTAAACCAACTACACTGAGACTGAATGAATACTAGTAATCTCTGGTGGCTGCATTGGCGGAGGTGTTCCAAATGTTAGAAGACATGGCACTACAAGCTGATGGTAAATTGGGGAGCAGGACCAACGTATTGCAGTAATCTAAGGATTTTCTGTTTTTATTCCCCCGTTGATGTTTCTTGGTGCCTGTTAAACATCAGCATTTGTTCCTGTGAGAGTGCTTGCTCAGCAGGTTTTTTATGTGCTCTTTTACATCTAACGGGATCCCTTCCCCTACTCTCCATTACGTTAGACTTGGGAGTTGTATGTGACATTAATGATAGTGGGTTTAATTGTCTTATTATAGTAATCTTGGGGTAGGGATCAATGTGTACTGTGTAAGGTAACCCAACTTTATTCCGCAAAAATAGATGTTTGTGTTGCAAAATGCGTTATGCCTTGGTGGATTTATGTCTTTGTGTTTGGTGTTAAGAAACACTGCACACTGCTCACACACTTGCACACTGGACTGAACACAGTCAGAAAAAACAACAACAACTTTCTTTCTCCAAACAGCCAAAAAGAATAATAACTGTATAATGGTAAGTTAGTCTCACAGGATTAAGGTCCATGCGTAGGCAAAAGGATTTATTCCTAATGCGAGAGTACCCAAAGGAAGGATTTTTATTTCTCTAAACAGTTTACAAACCAAAAATAAACTTTTACCAACTGTATGTTGGAAGCCAGGCTAGGCAAAAGCATTTATTTCCTAAAACCGCTGTCCCCAGAAGAAGGATATTCTTTCCTCCAAACAGTTAACAGCTGTATATTGGTATAATAGTCTCAACTAGAATGAATGACCAGATGCCTGCCAAGTGCCAATCTTCTATCTGTCAATCAAACGTTTCTCTACAGCTCCTGGTAGCCTCACACTAGAATCAATGACCCAGACTCTCACTCCAACTCAAGCACAGCAAGGGTAAACAAACAGGATCACTGCTGGTCTGTCTCCCTCAATAACTGGAGTTAACGTGTCTGGAAGAAAACGTGCTTGGAAGTATATATATATTTTTGTACCTCTTTTTTCCCCTCTGTTGGTCACTGCACTTGATTTCTGAATAAAATCACAGTTTTATCACCCCTTTACCTGGTTCCTGGAACAGTACTCCGAATCACAAATATGGGATGTTGCTAATCGGAAATCAGAAATTCTTCCGACTGGCCCAGATTTGGCCAAATTGCAGTTCAGTCTGAAATTAATCTCTAACTTCACAAAATTCTAAACTGAAGTGGTATTTCTTTCAGAACATACAATATTGCTTATTTTGCTGTACACATAATTAGGCTGAATTCTAAAATAACATGTTCAGTTATATTTATTCAGTAAAGAAAATGGGTTGATCAATACAATGTTTGTTCTAACAGATACTCAATACTTCCTTAAAATAAACAGCAATTTAACATATCCTTGACATCAACTCTATTTCCCCTTTACATGTTTCCCATGTGTTAACCTATGCCTCTTTCTTATTATTCTTGTCACGCATGTTAAATACTGTGAATTTATTGTAAATTTTATTGTTATGCACTCATACACACAACACATTACTGTGAAATATATTGCTGTGGAGTTTGGTAATACACTCATACACACAGCACATTACTGTGAATTTTACTGCCGTGGAATTCTGCTATACACATATACACATCACATTACTGTGAATTTTACTGCTGTGGAATTCTGCTATACACATACACACAGCACATTACTGTGAATTTTACTGCTGTGGAGTTCTGCTACACTGGGAGCCCTTTAGATGTGTAAGTGGTTGTGGTGGCACTCCAGGCACTTGGAACCCTATAGATGTGTAAGTGGTTATCGTGGCAGTCATGGCACTGGGAGCCTACTGCCCATTACTCTAATATGTGGAGTTCTGCAACACGCTCATACACACTGCACATTAATGTGAATTGTATTTCTGTGTAGTTCTTCTATGAACCCCTACATACAGTACATTACTGTAAATTTTATTGCTGTGTAGTTCTGCTGTACACTCATACACACTGCACATTACTGTGAATTTTACTGCCGTGGAGTTCTGCTATACACATACACACTGCACATTACTGTGAATTTTACTGCCGTGGAGTTCTGCTATACACATACACACTGCATATTACTGGGAATTTTACTGCCGTGGAGTTCTGCTATACACATACACACATCACATTACTGTGAATTTTACTGCTGTGGAGTTCTGCTGGGCAGACTAGATGGGCCGAATGGTTCTTATCTGCCATCCCATTTTATGCTTCTATGTTTCTATACACTAATACACACTGCACATAATTTTATTGCTGTGGAGTTCTGCTATACATTCATACAAACTGTACATTAAAATTTTTATTATCGTGTCAGTACCCCCAAACAATCGGAACACCTAGAAAAAGAGGGAATCAGAGTAGAAAGAGAGGGGCTGCATAATTTGAGTCCAAAAGTGGACACATAGGAGATATGCTCTAATCTATCTCCACTCTCAAGATATGGAGACGTGCTGTGATGCTGCAGGTAAAACATCTATAAAATGTGGTGAAACTCTGCTAAAAACGAAATTTCCTGTGTATTTAGTTTCCGTCGTTAATAACACCCGTTCTGACAACTTAACACCATTATTCTCACTTGCTTGCTCACATGAAGACGAAGGGGGAGGCCAGGCAGTCATATTGATCTGAACTGTGTCTGACTCATAATTGCAATAAGGAAAGAACAGAGCGTTGTGCGCCAGGTAAGTTAAATTATAATCGAGAGGTTTGAAGACAGAGAATAGAAGAATAGTAACAAATGTAACTTCTTTATTTTTGGTTTTAAAGGGCAGCATATTTCTTTGTATACTAGTTCTAACTAGTTCTCCCTATGGACTTCTGTAGTATAAACTACTATTTTATTCAACGTTTTAACCCCTTAAGGACACATGACATGTGTGACATGTCATGATTCCCTTTTATTCCAGAAGTTTGGTCCTTAAGGGGTTAAACAAGCACCTCTGGTACACTTCATTGTGCAATTGTGTATCAATGTAGCACAAACAATATATCTTTAAATGACATGAAAAGCCAATATCTTCCCACTCGTATCTCTCCCCTGTTTTACATTAACACACAATAATAAGACAAAAAATGGAGCAATATGTAAGTATTTATTAAGATTATGCTGTTTAGTAGTTTTACAACCGCTGATAAATATAACACACAAAAAACCCAAAAAACCGCAAACATGAAAGGTGCATGGTTGTAGCAATTGAGAAGGATGGGGGGGGGGGCAGACTCTTGTGTTTACAAGCTTCAGGATGGATTGGATTTTACAAACACTGCAATATTGTATAAAAACCCAAGCTGTGAAATGTTTGCACTAGTGTGTTTTCTGTCTTTTATATTCTACATACTTTTAACATGGTTATTCACTTAAAGGAACACTATAGCGTTAGGAATACAAATATGTATTAAGGTCACCAGTGCCGAGGTAGCCCAGTGCTGGATTAAGGTAAGCAAATAAATGGTTAATTAACCATTTATTTGTCACGGAACGGGGCCCTAGTCACCATTTAGTTCTCAGCTGCAGGGTTAAAACTAGGGGGACCTGGCACCCAGATCACTTAATTGAGCTGAAGTGGTCTGGGTGCCTTAAGTGGTCCTTTAAGTGTGAGTTGTCAGGAGTTCAGAGTGAGTTTCAAACTTAAATTCAAAATAGCCAAATATGAAAAATTCTCCTGGTCAGCTATATGTATATTTTTCCGGCTATTTTCGGTTAAAAGTTAAAAAATTCATTTTTGCAATTGCCAACATTTAATACTTTAGTTAATAGCCCTGTTAATTAATTTTGTGAGTAAGGTCCAGGATACAAAGGCTCCTGCAGAACTCTATAGCAGAGTTGACAGAATTTGTCATGAAAGGATAACGTCATAATCAGCAGGAAAAGTGTTGAAAAATAAGTAATATCTCATATATTTAATGTAACAATGTACATTATTATGTTTCCTGTGGGTTTTTTTTCTACACATGTTGGAGTTAAATACGATTTTAAGACGTCAAAGACTGTTATACAACATAATGATAAACTTGTGGTTTTTATATTAATTCATGTATATTCATCAATTTATGTTCCATTTATTGTTGTTTTTAGAAATCTCTGAAAATGTTTTTACTGATCCATACTATAATAATTGTTGCTCCTGAGACAGGCATGTAAAAGACATGATGGGTGATAATTATATCCGCCCTGATTGATTTGTAATCTTAACTGTAAAGGGATGTGTAACACAATTTATTCATTTATCAATAGTGTGACAGTGTGATAAAGGCCTCAACATCCGCATCCTATTCACCTGCTCAACACTAAAAATATATAAAACAAATAATTACAAAACGGTTTGCCCTCTGAAATTCAGGGTCTCAAAAATCAATCAATTCCATTCCATCCATCCATATAAAGGCATTTGCATCAAAGTCTGTAACCCTTAACAGGAAATCCCTTTATCAATTGATCAATTGGTTTATTGGCATTCAATGTGTCTCCCCTCTGGCATGGCAGCTGCTGATATATACACACACACACACACAGTTCTACAAACAGACATACACGCTTACTAGAGCTCCTGTCTAAGTCCAGCACTGAGACACACATGTCCAGGGCTGCCTGTGATTGATGGAAGTCACAATACCAGACTGCGCAGTTACCATTATTACGTTTGCCCTTCTCCCATCGGTGAAATATAGTAGGCAAGAGGCCAGGAAGAGATAGACAGGAATGTTTATAAATTCTAAATGGGAGGAAAGTAAAACAGGAATTGAAACCCGGGAGACCAAAATAGCTGATCTGGAAAAAATTTCCACTTCAGCTAGTCAGGGCTTGGCTATTTTAGCCTTTATTTTGCAATTCAGATTTGAATTCACAGTAATTCAGAGTTTAGTAAATAACCCCTTAGTATCTCACTCTACACAACACCTTGCCCAGTATGCCAGTAAGGAGAGAGGGACAGAATGAGGTGGCAGCCACAGACTGGGCCTGGAACCGCAGGCAGAGAGCCCCTGTGTCTTCATTATGTATGTCTGTGTTTCACTGTGTTACGCATACTTGCTATTGCTAACAGTCTTGAATTCAGGGAAACAGTCCCTATTTTGGCCACCTTGCTTCTGGGTACACAGTAGAAAAGTGTGACGACTTACAATAACTGTTTTTTTTTTTTTTGGCTCATTTCTTTTAGACAGTCACATCTCTTAAACTGAGCATATCCAGACCACTCAGGAAGCTGACAGACACACACAGAGCTTCATCGTTCAAGGTAATGAAAATAAAATTTTACACTATTAACAGTTTTCTCTCTGCTGCTTAAGCTATAACAAATATCTGGTCACAAAAACACGTACTTCAAATTTAAGGTCAGAATAGCTGAAATGAAAGCTTAACTGACTTAGAGAATATTCCCAGTTAAGCGATTTGAACCTTAAATTTGAAATTCACTTTTAATTCTCTTTGAATTTTCACTCTACTTAATAATGAAAAACAAATCCCACCATTCTCAGTCAGCCTTTAAGGTGCCAGTGTTAACTATCACAGCTACAGTAAAATGCGTCATTTTAACATTTCTTAATTTTTACAAAATTTGGTTCCTAGAGCTAACAATCTAAAGGTCAGAATGGGAATTTGAGACCGTAGGGTGGTTTAGTGCCATTGTTGTCTCAAGCTGCTAGTTTGTAGCTTTCACTCTTTCAATACCAAGTTCTTTATTGTTTAAAGAAATGTGTGACACTTGAGGCATGGAACTCATAGCTACCATGAAGAATCTGTGGTATTAGATATATAGATTGCTGTTCAACATACATTTAAAAAAAATGTAAAGTATATTTTAAAATGTTTCATTTTCATCCTTTGTTAAAATATTGGTTGTGGATATAAAGTGTTTTTGAAATAGAATAGAAATTATACAATCTATACTTCATGAAGAAGTATCGCTACAGGTGAGCTGACCCAGTCTGGAGTCCTGAGCAGGATCCTAAAAATACTTTTTTACTGTGAAGCCTGAATTACCAGAAAAACTACAAATTTGAGGCAGCGAAGTGCCACCCGTAGTGTGTGGTGATAAACATCCAGTGCTATCAGGGCAACAACAGCAATGGTGCCAATTTGTGCCGGCGTAGAGCCCACAGCCCAGTGGTTATCACTGTGAACAGTCTCTTTTTTTCACCATCCCCATGCCGCACTCTGTGTCAGGAGAAGGAGTGGGTATGGGAAGTGACATCACATCTCCAGTTCTCTCCTCACATACAGAGCGTTGTAAAGTAGCATCCAGGTAACTGCTAACCAGGGCTGCTGGAGAGACACAAAGTGTGGGAGTGACAAGAGCGGAGGCTACATTGTATCTGTAGCTGTGAATGTCATTGTCTAAATGTATGATGGAGTGTGTATCTGTGTGTGTTCCAGTGTGCACACACCTGTGAGTGATGTCTATTGTACAGTGCTGCAGAATTTGTTGGCGCTTTATAAATAATAATAATGTATGACTGTGAGCTCTAATGTGTGTCTGTGAGAATGTGTATCTGTGTCACTGTACGCGTGCATTTGTGTAAGGTTTAGAATGCTTCCTTGAGGGTGTGTCTGTAATTTACTTTAAAAAGTAATATTTCTGGTAACAAAAAACCTTTCCCTGCACTCTTTGCACTATAAACACTAAGTTTTTCTGTAAATAGGCAGTGTTTACACTTCTCCCTAAGGCCACCTCTAGTGGTTGGCACTCAGACAGCCACTAGAGGCACTTCCTGTTACAGTCTTGCAATCATTGCAGGCCTGACATTCGGTGCCTTCAAGCTCAGCATGAATATGCCTCTCTATGGAGAAGCACAGGAATGGTTAAGATCGTTATTGCTGATGATCTCAGTGACCCCTAGAGAGGAAGCTGTGTCAAGAAATAAGAGTGGCTAATTAAACCATGCCCACAGTGGAGCCAAGAAGATCTTAAACACAGGAGTCATTGAGCCATGGCTCACTTGTGATTGAAGGTGTTTTACCCAATTGTACATTTTCCAATACTCCCTTCTATTTATCATTTTTACTTATGTAATTATAAATGATGTAAAAGAGTACTGATTTAACATAGAAGAAACAGAGGTTTGAAGTGCAAACAAATATAGAGTGGAACAGCCTATAAATGATAACCCATTGCTCGTTTCTCCACCTAACAATGCGGCGCATATATTTTATGAAAAATAAATAGCTTAGAAGCCCAAGAAATATAATTAGAAATGGTCAAACATTCGGTTTATGTGTACGAACAGAATTTACTTAAATTTTGGGCAACGCACATCTGTGATTGCATCTGGACACTGCATGGTGCTACTGCAGCTAATGTGTACCCTTCTTACCTCCACCCCTGTATGGAAGATATTTAGGAGCACAACACACTTTGATCCATTGTTTTTTGCGAGGAGTGATAGAATGAATTCATTTACCCGCTCACTTCACAATGCAAATGGAGTAGTGGCAGAGAAATTCATTCTTTGTAGATGATAGGCCAGTTGGTTAATCAACTCCCCACCCTAGAAATTGTGACTCACATGATACAAACTAGCAAAGCCCCCAAACTAGATGTAGTGCTAAGAGCATCCCCCTTGTGGTAAATCGAATTTCCTGTCATTCATTTACTGTAAACTGTGACAAAGACTTGAGGCTGAGGATGTGAATTTCAAAGAAAGATTAATGTCACATAAGACGTGAAAACCACGTAGAACTTTCCGACTATTGTTACAGAGTATCAATAGCGTCTATGGTGCAATGGCTTTTCTGGTGCCCTGAAAGCCCAATAATTTTTAAAACCACACAAAAACGGTTTAGATAAATAAATGGGGATGTCACCCAAAGATCGTTTGTACCATGTGTGTTACTTATCATGTCTCTGATCACAAAAAAAATGATCCCACTGCAATGTTATATGAATTATCTTGTACAGGAACACATTACCAATTCTATAATGTCAGTTCCAGCTTAATCTGATCTCTCATTACTAACTCTGAATGAATAAAGCTTTTAAATATCAGCTGCAACTTGTGTTAAATGTATACTTTACTCTTACAACTTGGCAATCAATTCTCTGCCATTTAGGATTTCAAACACTTTGTTTTTACTGCCCTAGCCACACCTCCTCTGGCTGAGACTCTCACAGCCTCCAACACTGCCGAAATTGAAATTAGTCCTAGTATGCAGTCTTTTAAAGCAAAACGCACAATACATACAGACTTCACACAACCATGACTACTTCAAATCATTGAATGGTGCTTGGAGTAACAATTAATGATATATTTTTAATAATATGTATTGTTTGTTTATTTTTATTTTTTTAGAAAGTATTGCTTTTTATCTGTCCGAGTCAGATTCGACTGTTATAACTCAACATAACATGTTTGTTGCTGCAGGTTCACACTGAGGATATAGCGCAATCACAGCTGAGGACATGGGTCATTTTCTCAAAAATAATCAATATACATCATTAAAAAATACCATGAAGTTTTATTAAATGCAATAAGCTTTTTAAAAAAACGACAAGTCAAGCGTGGCAGTTGTTCTTTGAGCTAAAGTTGTTATTGGTGCTTAAAGTTTTCCTTTAACTTTTTTTTTTAGTGAGATTCTTCTATATGTACATTAAAGATTTAGAAATTGACATCGTAATTCCATTCAGGGATAACAAAGCCAGGGCAAACATTACAAATGGCGAGTTGAAATATAAACATTGTATCGTTTCTTCTCTTTTCGGTGGGAGTTCCCTATGCTGACTGCCATATTTGTTAAAGGTCCACTAAAGGCACTATAGGTGCCAGGTCCATCTAGGTTTAACCCTGCCTGCTGTAAACATAGCAGTTTCAGAGAAACTGCTATGTTTAGACTATGGTTCATCCAGCCTCTAGTGGCTGTCTCATTGGACTGACTGAATGCGCGTGCGGCTCTCGCTGTGCATGCGCATTCAGCCAATGACGTCCGAAGGAGGAGGAGAGTCCCCAGCGCTGAGGGAGCCCGGCACTGGAGAAAGGTAAGTGTTTAACCATGAGGGTGGGGGGGAGCTATTAATGATATAGTGCCAGGAAAATGAGTTTGTTTTCCTAGCACTATGGTGGTCCTTTAAATACAGGAATAAGTAAAACATTATATTGAAAATACTGGGAAGTGACCGTTTCTCTTTAAGCTGTTGTGGACTACAAAGGATAGAAGGAGCGGGGCTAAAAAAAATCTACACTCTTCCTGTTAAAGAAGTTTCAAAGCAGACGGGAGGGAACATCATCCCTTTAAAGATACAGTATGTATGTATAGAGGCACAGATCTCTTATTCTCATTGCTGGACCTACAAAGACAGGACTCCAACAACCAATAGGAGAGATAATAAAGGGTGTCATAAGATTTCAAGTTAAAGGACCACTATAGGCACCCAGACCACTTCAGCTTAATGAAGTGGTCTGGGTGCCAGGTCCAGCTAGGGTTAACCCTTTTTTTTTTATAAACATAGCAGTTTCAGAGAAACTGCTATGTTTATAATAGGGTTAATCCAGCCTCCAGTGGCTGTCTCTTGACAGCCACTAGCGGCGCTTGCGTGCTTCTCACTGTGAAAATCACAGTGAGAAAATGTCAGTGTCCATAGGAAAGCATTGTGAATGCTTTCCTATGGACTGCCTGAATACGCGCGGGGCTCTTACCGCACATGCGCATTCAGCCGAAGAGGGAGGAGAGGAGGAGGAGAGTTCCCCGCCCGGCGCTGGAAAAAGAGGTGAGTTTAACCCCTTCCTCTCCCCAGAGCCCGGCGGGAGAGGGACCCTGAGGGTGGGGGCACCCTCAGGGCACTATAGTGCCAGGAAAACGAGTATGTTTTCCTGGCACTATAGTGGTCCTTTAAAGCAAAAACGTATGGGGGCGTGGAGTCTAAGATGAAATGGTGGAAGAGATTATTTAACGTTACTCAGAAAACATATAAAAGGGGATTTTGTTTGGATGCTAAAGGCTGAAAAACAGAGACATGGTGGTTGAATCAACAAGAGAAACTGGCAGTGTCCTGTCAGTGTTATTTCAATAAATACAATATTGGAGTGATAATAGCTTCCGCTATTTTCTTTTCTAACTTTTCCTAAGGTAACTATCTGTTGTGAATACAATTTGTACTTGTCTCTTTAATGATTCGCTCTGCATCAATTTTTTGTTCTCTGTCCTTAGCTGTGACTGTGTTGTTCGATCACGTGGAAGAAAATGTTCTGCGCCAATGTCATCGGGATTGCTGGATCCAGCCTAAGTTTCGTTTTACTCTTCACTGGAATCCTGACTGACTTCTGGCTGGTCAATTTTGGTGTAGGACTGACCCATGAAGGTCTCTGGCAGATCTGTTCCAAAGATATCTGCTCCAAAATCGCAGGACTAAGTAAGCTAAATTTTCTTACAGACTATGCGTCCATCTACCTAGTAGCAGTATAGCAATATAATCTCTCCTTTCGAATTCACTCTGTGCAGACAGCAAGACCGCCAGGTCTGGAAAAGGAGATAATGGAAATACCCAACGTATCAAAGTATGGAATCCTCCACCACTTGTTTAATCTGCATCCTGGGATAAACTTTTAATATCAGTTTTCCCAATAACTATCAATTAGCCTAACACGCAGCTGATCATTTAGCAAGTTTTATGGAAACTGGAATACTTTAAGAAATTAATTTGTGTTAGGCTTCCATACAAGTCTGTCTTATGATAACGCTTACGAGGTACATTTTGATTTTTCTTCCATAGGGTTTATTGAAGCCACCCGTGCACTCCTGATCATCTCCATGTCTTTCCTTACATTTGCAATGCTGTCTTCTTGCCTATCATTCAAGAACTTTTCCATTGGAAAAATCACCTGTGCCCTGATAGCTGCTCTCATGGAATTTCTAGCAGGTATGGAATCCTACTATTAATAACTAAACCTTCGAGGCTTCTTTGAAAGAGACTGGTACCCACCAGCAAGTTGCTGGCTTCAGTGCAATAACACTGATTTAATTTCCAGGTTCCCCAAGGGTCTGGTACAGTCCTATAGCATGTATCTGCCTATACCAACTATACAGTCGGTACAGTGAATTAAGCAATTTGCACTTGAAGAATAGACTGCCTGTTAATTATATGCAAACCCTGACAATAATCCTGCTGCCTTCAACTCTGGTTCTCCTTCCACTATTCTCTGTAGACATCAGAATTGGTCTGGGGGAAAAATAGTGTTTGTATGGAAAGGAGATCTGTCTTTTTTCCAAAACTTAATTGCTTCAGCAGTGGTGGAACTACCGCGGTCGCAGGGGTTGGAGCTGCGACCGGGCCCACCACTCCAGGGGGCCCAGCCGCCCTGCAGACACCTGCAACCGCGGGTCCCGTCGGCTATGTAATGCAGCCCTGGCCTGCTACCTTAAATGGGCCCATCAGGTGGCCCATGCTATTAGGGTCAAGGTCACCCAATGCTATGTGCTTCCAGGGGGCCCGGTCAGTGCTTTAACAGTGCGACCGGGCCCCCTCTGATGAGGTCAGAGGCTGGGAGGAAGTGACTGCCACAGTCACTTGCTCCCAGTAACCATCGGGAGCCGCACGGGAGGAAGAAGAGGAGGGAGTCAGAGTGGGGACTCTGACTCCCGTCAGGCTGAGCCACTGGACCCCAGGGAAAGGTATGTGTGTGCATGTATGTCTATGTATCTGTATGTATGTCTGTCTGTCTGTTTGTGTATGTCTGTCTGTCTGTCTGTGTGTCTGTATGTGTGTGTGTGTCTGTATGTGTGTGTGTGTCTGTCTGTGTATGTATGTGTGTATGTCTGTTTGTCTGTATGTATGTGTTTGTCTGTATGTGTGTGTGTGTATGTCTGTCTGTGTATGTGTGTGTGTGTGTGTGTGTATGTCTGTCTGTGTGTGTGTGCATGTCTGTCTGTGTTAATGGATGTGTATGTCTGTCTGTATGTGTGTGTGTGTGTGTGTGTGTCTGTATGTCTGTCTGTCTGTGTGTCTGTATGTATGTGTGCACCAAAATAAAAAGTCCAATAGATTATCAGATGCTTTGATTATTCTTTAATTGTAAATCGTCCAGGCTTCTGGTGGTGGCAGGTATATGAAATAAAGAAGAAAGATAGCCAGTAGTGGATCAGAGTATCTAGTACCAAGCGCAGAACAAACAACAAAGAGGTCTATGATGTAGCACTCACATTTAGTAGTGAGTTTGAAAAGGCAGCATTTACATTGAAAGTCTGCAGGGACAGACTATACAAGGTAGGAGGCAGAACATTAGAGGAACACTATAGTCACCTAAACAACTTTAGCTTAATGAAGCAGCTTTAGTGTATAGATCATGCCTCTCAGGTTTCACTGCTCAATTCTCTGTCATTTAGGAGCTAAATCACGTTGTGCCTGTTTATGCAGCCCTTGTCACACCTACCTTAAACAATTGTATCTCCTGCTCTGTAAATTGAACTTTAATCACATACAGGAGGCTCTTGCAAGGTCTAGCAAGCTATTAACATAGCAGGGGATAAGAAAATCTAAATTAAACAGAACTTGCAATAAAGGAAGGATAAACATTAGATGGCTCTTTACAGGAAGTGTTTATGGAAGGCTATGCAAGTCACATGCAGGGAGGTGTGACTAGGGTTCATAAACAAAGGTATTTAACTCCTAAATGGCAGAGAGTTGAGCACTGAGACTGCAGTGGCATGATCTATACATCAAAACTGTTTCATTAAGATAAAGTTGTTTTGGTGACTATAGTGTCCCTTTAAGCTGTAGTGATTCTGGTGACTATAGTGTGAATAATTATATTATTAAGGAAGGGCCATATACAATTTTTTTTAAATATGAATTTGCCTCTGTAGCCGACATTTATTTACCAGGTTCCTGTGTTAATATTGTAAGAATGTGGACATCACTGCTCACCTGGATATATAGATGCAGGCTGTAACTTTAACATGTGTTCTTATCATGCGATAATATTCATCTGACAGTGTTTGTCTGTTACAGTCCTTTTCCTTATTACTGGGATGTCAGTCTACACGGGGGAGACAGCATATCAAGTCAATAACAACTCCTATAATTACCAATGGTCATTCTACCTGTGCTGGACTGCGACTCTAACAACTCTGACAGCAGGTAAGTGTGTTCTGGGGTGTGTAGCCCACCAGTCATTTAAAAGAACACTCCGTGCCAGTATCAGCTGTAATTAATCCCCAAAATAGCTCATTTGTATTAAATAGATTTTAGGAGATAGGTTTTAATGTACGTGATAAACCTCACATATCTAACCTTTCTTTTCCCCACTAAATGGCCACCCAAGCTTCATAACCTATTGAGTCCATAATAGTTTTAGTGCTAGAGTCTAGCTAAGAATGCCCTTTAACTAGGGGTGCCAATAGAAAATGTTTCATCTTACCGCATCACAACTGTGGCGGTTCTGTAAGGAGCATCGTAGTCATAGTACATATTGGTCCTGAATATCACCCCACAGTACTCATCAACACGGAAATTACTCCCAAATGGTGCTGTAGATTTTATTTTAAAAAAGCTGGATGCTTTTATTGCAAAAACAGAATATTAATGGATATAACTGATAGAAACATAGAAACAGACTAGGTGGGCCCAAACAGTTCTTATCTGCCCTCACATTCTATGTTTCTATGAACTTGATGGACTTTAGACTTTTTTCCAGCCTAGATTACTGTGTAACCTCATATTCCACAGCAATGGGAAACAAGACAGGCATTTAATTCTAACACAACATGTATATTCCACTGGTATTCATAGCTAAAGGCTTATAGTTTATTTACTATCATTTATGTATAGATATTCTATAGAACTGGATACACTGAGTGCATTAAACTAACAGATTAAAAAAAAAAAACTGGTTCATTCGACATAATTTTCTGTGAATATAATTTTAAATAATCTTTTGCATTTACTGAGGTAAATTGTGCTGTAGAGGTAAATAACATACTTACCTCTGCAGTTGTTTAGTATGGAAGAGTCCAGGGCCCCCATACACCTTCCCTTAGTGACATTAGCTAATTTCAGGGCTTGGGTCCAGGCCTACAGTCTGTGGGCAGGATGCTGGCCTTCATGCCCGTCCAAATGTCCATGGCACGAGAGATTCCATCACACTTCCAAACTGCAAATATGGAAAAGAAGGTCTCAGCATTTGACTTAAAGGGACATTTTAAGCACCATCATCACTACAGCTTAATGGTGTGGTTCTGTGAAACAAAGACTGTCCCTGCAGTTTTTGCAGTGTAAAAGCTGACTTTTCTGAGAAAAAGTAGCATTTACATTGCTGCATTACTCCGCCTCTAGTGGCTATCACTCACGTAGCCACTTCCTGGTTGTGGTCCTGCCATCTTTGCAGGTGGCGATATTCAGGTACTGAACAAACCCCATAGAGATGCATGGAGTAAAGAGGATATTGATTGGTGCAATGTAGCAATTGCTGCACATTCATACTAGAAATGGATTGGCTGAGATCATTAGGGGAGTGGCAAATACAGGAAGACAGGAACGCAGGTGGACTACAGGTAACTAATTCAATTTATTTTATTACTTTAGGGGGGAGGGCCTTTACTGCTGTATCTCTCCAATGTTAGGGATACATTTTTTTTGCTTTAAAGGGCTAATCTTCATGCTTGTCAAAATCATTTGCTGAGCAATCAGTAATTGCTACAATGGCTGCCTCTAATATTAGCAATTACCAACTGTCTACACACTAAAAAAACTCAACAGTGCTGAAAAGAATGTTCATATTCTACTTTAGATACATCAATGTCATCCCTATTTGTATGGAATGTATTGGCTAGGCGTGTCTGCTGACTCTCTCAGCCAATGAATATTGTCCAAACAAAAATAGGGTCACTTGCGATCGCAAATGCTGAAGTAGGAAGAGGGGCTGACCGTAAATGGTTTAACTCAAAAATGGTTTAACTCAAAAATGGTTTAACTCTTACCCGGGTACAGCACCAAGGGCACACTGTAGTTGTTGTGGTGTTTAGAGTGCTAATTAAAGGCAAAAGTCTATAAAAATGACTGGGGCTTTAATATCGTTTTAGACTGCCAGAGACCTTTACAAACGTTACTCTACTTTAACCCCTTAAGGACACAACTTCTGGAATAAAAGGGTATCATGACGGAATATTTCCGTCATGTGTCCTTAAAGGGGTTAAACTGTAAACTCCTGTCGACAGGACTCTCTGGACCTCTTGTTTCCCTTCACCATAACATTTGCATGCGTTGGCTCTTTTCTATATATTCACAAACTCATGATGTAGAAAATGATTTTCTCAAATTAATACTTAACTGTAAAGTAATAAGTGTAATCTTAGGGGGGTCAGCTTGAACCTCTTTGTAATATTAATGAGATCAATCAATTCTGCGTTGTCTCTTTTTTTCCCCCCCAGGAATTTCCCATGTCTTGGCACATAAGGTTTCCCCGCAACCTGGATACGAATCGGTCTGAGTTTCATTCTGTAGTCTTTTATTAAACTTTCTTACCAAACAGTTGGTTAGTATTGTTTTAAATGCAAAACAAAATAAAAAAAATAAAAAATAAGAAAAAAAAAATCCAAACAAAGACAAGAAATAACAAGAAAAGGGATTATATGGGAAATATGCAATTCCTCGTCCATTTTTCACAAGTCTTGTTAAATGACAGGTCCATAGTGTGTGTGGCTGCGTGAAGCTAAAGCTAAATACAAAAACTGCAGTGATTTGAAATTCAAATTGCAACATTTAGTCTGAAATAGCTAAGCTGTGACTATCCCAGAATAAGAGAAAATCTTACAATTCCTCTAATAAGAAAATAAATAGTGCAATTCTGTTTTTAGTTTGCTACAACCTGCTGCTACGTATTATCACATTCTGCTGGCCACTTGGGAATCTGCATTCTTAAATATAATATCAGATTAATTCCACAACTATTAGTAATTCACAAAATAGCTAAAGAATAGAGGGCCCTAAACTGAAAAAACCTTGATGAAATATTCTTTCAACAGACCATTGTAATGTAAAATGTACTTTATTAAGTAACGTAAAAATCAAATATAGTGGCCACTAAGTACCATTGGCAATTGTTATAACAATGAAACAAATTTTCCAGTAACAACTATAATACAAACGTATCTAGGAAAGTTAAATGTAGCGTGCAGAACCGACAGGCAAATAGTGTGCTATACAAATTAAATCAGCCTTAGGAATATATTAATCAGATGGGTCAGTTTAACAAACCTCGTAGGACGCATTTCAGCCATAGTCGAGTGAACTTGGATGCGAGTCGTCCACAGGTCCATTATAACCTAAGGGAGAGAGTGGTCTGAATCCCTCCAATCTCCTGATCTGGAACAGATAGAATTATGAAGGTCTTTAAGTACACCATTGATACTGCTGCAAACATCTGCTGGCTCAGATAAAATATGCTCCGTGATCAAGCACATCTGAAAAATGTTAAAAAAGAGGCTAAATATCTCAGTCCTATGGTCAACGCGTTTCATTCCAACATAGGACTTTATCAAGACTATATTAGTGCATAACAACTGTTATTAAGGCATTTGAACATTTTTATTTATTTACGTCCTACCTATAGTATGTCACAAAACTGTAATTTATCCTTTTATCCTTTTATTTGTTGATATTATATTTTAAAGGATAATGGATATGGTAAAGCAGGGGTACCCAAACGCTGGATCCCTAAATACTGTTAAAATACCACTCTAATGATGATTTGCCAACTTTGACAATTACAAAGCATCACAGAAGTTGTAGTTTTAAAACTTTTGGCAATCACCTTTTTGCGCTCCCCGATATAAATACACAACTTACTTTATGACAGACAATATTCTGCATATAAATAAAAGAATATAAAAATCTATAAATGTAACCAATATGAAGTGAACCTGCTATCAGCAAATCGTTAGCATTTCCTGTGCGAGCTATACATCTAATGGTTTAAAGGAACACTATAGTCACCTAAATTACTTTAGCTAAATAAAGCAGTTTTAGTGTATAGATCATTCCCCTGCAATTTCACTGCTCAATTCACTGTCATTTAGGAGTTAAATCACTTTGTTTCTGTTTATGCAGCCCTAGCCACACCTCCCCTGGCTATGATTGACAGAGCCTGCATGAAAAAAAACTGGTTTCACTTTCAAACAGATGTAATTTACCTTAAATAATTGTATCTAAATCTCTAAATTGAACTTTAATCACATACAGGAGGCTCTTGCAGGGTCTAGCAAGCTATTAACATAGCAGGGGATAAGAAAATCTTAATTAAACAGAACTTGCAATAAAGAAAGCCTAAATAGGGCTCTCTTTACAGGAAGCGTTTATGGAAGGCTGTGCAAGTCACATGCAGGGAGGTGTGACTAGGATTCATAAACAAAGGGATTTAACTCCTAAATGGCAGAGGATTGAGCAGTGAGGCTGCAGGGGCATGTTCTATACACCAAAACTGCTTCATTAAGCTAAAGTTGTTCAGGTGACTATAGTGTCCCTTTAAGTAAAACTCTGTAGTGAACGGGTTAACTGGCAAAGAATATTTGAGTTGTCACTGCTTTTTCTCTCGAAATCTATATACAGCCATACATTCATTACACATAACGGAGAACTGTCCCAAAGCCTCTGTCTTGTCTCCCTGTCAGCTACTGGTATAAGTATTGCTACTTTCTGTCATTATAGATACGGGTGGTGATAGAAAAACAGAAATAAAGGTAGCGATTTACTTATTTAAGTCTTCTGTTCTAATAAGTGGCCGGAAATACTAAAAGCGAGGTTTGCAATTTTCCACTGCTTTTCAGACGAGCACAGTTTTATAAAGGGTCCACCCCTCCCATATTTCTGTTTCCCCTCCCCCAAAGCAATATGTGCCATGTCTATGCCTGGAATAAACTGGATTGTGATAACAATTGTTACATATTTAAAGTAAAGTTAAAACAAAATGGAGCAACATGTTAAAAAAATTTAATAAAAAATAACATAAGTTATAGGTGATTTTACCACATGACAGGAGGCTTCATATTTGCATATCTTTCTTTACTCAAAACTCCAGCAGCATAGTAACATAAACAACCAATCAGAAAAAAGATATAATGCCCATAAAAGGCCCTGTCTATGACATCACTTCCTCTTTCTTTGCTGCTCCAGCCAACATCAGGTCAGAGTATTTTGCCTCCCTGGCAATTGCTTACATATATTGTTTGTTTCTCTGTATTTTGGATTGTATTGTTCTATTTCTACCTAAGTTAATTTATTTACCTAAGTTAATTTATTTATTTAGCTAATTTATTTATTTCATTTACTTATTTCATTTAATTAATTTATTTATTTAGTTTTTATTTTCGCTGTTCCCTTCTCCCTGTCCCTGCAGTTTTCTTTTTGGGCCCCTATTGCTTTTCACTGCCGGTACCCACGAGCAACGGCTGTCAGTGCCGCGCGCCGCGGGCCGGCTAACGTTTTCCTTTTGTGGGGCCGGCAAGGGGACGGGTGGAGGGGGACTGGGAACTACGTTCCCTCGTCGTTCCGGCGCCGCGCGGTCGATCGCGGCGCTACTTCACACGCGGGTGGCGGCCATCTTGGATCTCGCGGCTCGCGAGATACCGGACGGCCGCCTTCCCCGCTTGCCCGGCGGATCGGCAACTCACCCGACCGCCGGGCTCCACATCTGTATACCCTCCCTAGTATGTACTAAGGGAGGGTATTAGGTTACAGTGGATTTTTGCCTTTCAATATATATATTTGCCCAGTGCCTGCCTGCTGTGCTGCCTATCTATTATAAATGCATGCATTAAAGAGACAAGCATTCCCCCCTTTTTTGCCAGCTTCAGACCTTTATGTCTCTATGCCCTGCTTAGGGTCATATCAGCTACTATACCCCAATTAGGGTTATACTATACATGGTTATAATCTCCTCAGGATCAGACGGCATACTGGCAAAAATTATATACAATTATTATTTTTTATTCTCATGAGCAGGCACACAATCTATGTATTATTGTGAAGCCATACAATATCACAGTCGTTATACAAAACATATACTGTACCTATATCAAGATCAACTACATCACTGTACTCTACGAAGGGCATATTATGTTACTGTACCCTACAAAGGGCATATTATATTATATTATTGTACCCTACAGAGGGTCATATTATATTACTGTACCTGACGGTGCAAATTTATGTGGGTGTCCTCTGGGTATTTTTTCATGGCACACCACCTGGGGTGACCCCCCAGATATGCATGCAAGGTCACTGACAGACCATTACCTTTGATGTGGGTGTCCTCTGGGTTACCATGGCACACCACCCGGGGTGAACCCCGATCATATGCATGGAGGCCTACGCCTCAACTTTACCACTGATTACTACAGACATATATGGATGTTTAACCCTTAACTATGGATGTTTAACTTTTGGAATAAAAGGGAATCATGACATGTCACACATCTCATGTGTCTTTAAGGGGTTAAACACTGCCTGTCAGTTTTACATTAAAGCAACAGTACCATGCCGGATGCGATTTGACGGCAGGATCACTAAGAAAATTGAGTGTATTGCGGTGTACCCTTCACAGGGATACATATATGTATATTTTCTGTGCCTAGTGTACATATGGAACGTGGGTGTCCTCTGGGTAATTTTTCATGGCACACCACCTGGGATGACTCCCAGATATGCATGCAATGCTTGTAAGGTGCCAATAAGTATAATATGGGTGTCCTCTGGGTTACCATGGCACACCACCTGGGATGAACCCAGCCTAATAGACATGGGTCCTGCGGCTGCAGACCTTATGGAGACAGGCCCCATGCGCCTATATAGTAAGCCTGTATAGTTAAAAACCGTGCATACAGCTCTGGCGTACATTTGTGGTGAACCCGGCTAGCCAGACCGACACCACTACCAGTCAGTCGCGCCTGCACCACGGCTCTCAGTAGCCAGATTAAACTAATAGAGGTGACCCCTCTTTTTACCTGGGTGATCCCCAGTTCTACCAGGAGTCTAACACCCCTACGTGCTGACCCTCACACTATCTCCCAACAGGACGGGAACGAGTCATGGTGGACACTCTCAACGTTCCCAAGATTTCTAGACAATGATAAACGCCACAGTAACGGCCTCAGTGGAGAAGGTTCTGTTATGAACTCTACCCCACACCGCTTGATGGAGACCTCAGGCCCACAAGCCTTCAAGTCAAAACGGCAAGGGAAGGGCTCCAGCCCCCCTGCCACTAAGGTCAAGGGCAAGATGCCCATCGAACAGACCAAATAGGCGGAGCACCGGGAATCCAAACCCCGTCCGCCACAATCTTCCGACAAAAAAGACTATTACCCACCACGTACTTTGGACATGGTAGATGAGCGACACGAAGACAGCTCACCGTCTGAGGAAATGGAACGGCAAGACCTTCCCCACACTTCCTCGAAGTAAGTTAGGGAAACCTTACTCCGTGACGGCGGCTGAGGCAGAGATCACTGTAGCGGCACTAAACCAGAGTAGCCGAAGACGGAACGTTCCTGGACAAACACTATTGGCTGCACAACCCTAGGGGGATGGAAGGATGCGCACGCCTCAAGACCGAGTTGCCCCAGGGTACACAACTCAACCCTACCACCTCCAAAGAATGGTCTCAATGCTCGATATGCCTCCTGGGCAACGTAATGACGCACTATACGCCGACAGACGCAAATCTGTACTGGGCCGCATCGACAACACACTATTGGACCTAGGAACGACAAGTATTCGGCCCAAAAGCACAAGGCCTACTATTCGACGTAGTGTTCATTGCAGTACTCAAAAAACACGTGAGTTTATTCACCACACTAAACCCAGACCTCGCTAAAACAAGTCTTCCACAACCCTACGGAGAAAGGTGTTTCTGGGAGGACTGGTCGGTAGCTGAACCGAGCCATCAGCTGCTTCTGGGCGACAGGTTCCAGATCGTATACACAGTCCTCATGTTTCTCCCATCTACTACACAAAGGAACCCATCCGCTTCATCTAATAGTGTGTCAACCTACATAACTAACTGTTTCCAATATTATGACCGGCAACCTGTCTCTGTTTTACAGAATTGGGAGACGACTACCAAAGTCACCTGGGTTCTCCAGACAGTACAAGGTGTCATAGAGTTGTCATAGAGTTTTATCACAGCCGTGCAGGTCGCCCCTTCACCTCCATTACGCACGCTGGCGGAACAGGAATGCCTCGTGGACAAGAAAATCTGCACCCTCTTCAGGAGGTGCGCAATTCAACACGCAACGGAGGGGAAGGCTCCCCAACAAATTTTTCATGGTCAAGAAGAAGCCAGGAGACTACATCAATGGAACTCCTACATGGTATACAAATGCTGCAAGATGGAGGAAATTAGTCTTCTACAAGACCTCCTAGGCGATAACGACTGGTTTACACATCTGGACCTCAAGGACGCACGCTTGTCGGTACCTGTTGCCCTGGACTGCCGACGTTTTCCTCCGATTCCGATGGTGAGGACAAACACGGCAGTTTACGACTCCGTGGTGCTCGCGAACCTACTGTAACCAGTGAGGGCACACATCCGCAAATTTGGGCGTGCGATGCCTCGTATACCTGGAAGACTTGCTGATTCTTTACGAATCCAGGCTACATTTGCAGACAGTTTTGTCGTTCACTTTCGGGACTTCAGGGATTTTTTGTTGTACACAGACAAAGATCGCTTCTCCATCTGAATCGGGCCAGTTCCTCAGTTTCGACATCGGCTTGGAGAACTACGTTCCGCGTCAGTCTACGTTCCGCCTCTATAGGGATAGCTGTCGGATTGTGGGATTCCTCTCCTCCTCTCCTCCTCCATACTAGCGTTATTCCCTGGCCCACTACGACTGATGGTGAGATACGTACGCACCGGTCACTCATACGACCACTGGATCCCACTGTCAGCGGAAGTGAGGATGGAATTTCGATGGTGATTACTTCACATACAAACTTGGATTGGCAAAACGATCTTTGACTCTTCCTTCGGATACGGGGCGATGGATGAACCCCTGCAAACGCGACCCAGCCGTTTCTCCACAATAGCAAGGGTGCTTCGATACACACACACACCCACAAGATATCGCTCCTGCTCATGACACCCCTCGGGCAGGGCCAACCGTGATTTCCCGGATCGCCTGGAGATGTCTCGCGAAGACCCTCTACTACTCCCTACCTTCCCTCTACTTCTGACGGGACCTCGAGGGGAAGCCCACTCCCTTGTCATGGAAGGACAACTGGCACTAGTTGTCTGGACGGCTTCAGGGGCTCCTGGTCAGATCACGACCTATTGCATCAACTAAGACCTCCTATGGGACTCATAGGCTCCCGGCACCAGGAAAGGCTATATTTCTGCCTGGTCGGCCTGGAGTGATTGGTGTGTGGAAAGGGATTCCGATCCCTTTACCGCACCTGTCCCACTGATCCCCAACTATCTGTCACACCTGGTCTCGTTGGGTCGGTCATATCGATCCCTCAACGTGATCAGATCCGCCATGTCGACGGCGCACGTTCCGGTACAGGGCAGACCAGTAGGTCAAGATACACTGGTTTGTCGACTACTGCGGGGTGCCGAATTGTCGAGATCCCTGCACCCAAATATTCACGCCTCTGGCAGGTGGATGTGGTGCCGAGATTCCTTAGGGAATGGCCGGACAATCCTTGTTGGTCACTGAAGCAACTTTCAACCAAACTAGCCTTCTTATTATGCCTCGCCTCATTTAGACGGTGGTGGACGTTAGGGCTTGCGATATGGATGGTTTCTCTCTCACATCAGACGGGGTTACCTTTACCATGTCGAGACGAACTAAGTCTGATTCGTCTTCAGTGTCATACCCATGCTTTGTGTCAGACGCCACACTATGCGTGGTCAGAACGCTAATGGGGTACACCAATATCTCTACCCCCTTCGAACTCACTCGACGGATCACCTTCTGACTTCTTACGTAAAC